TTTCATTTTTAAATATGGACAATCGCAGATCATAAGACATATGATAGGACTGTGCTCTAGTAAAATGTGCATCCAAGAAAAAAGAGAATATGTATATGGATAACAGTGGACTCTGTTTGGGGCAAACATAATGGAAAGTTTCCAAGTGTCAGCTGTACAACCAACATGGATAATAGTAGGAGGGCAAAGGATGCCCAGAAAATAAAAAGAACTTTAAAGAAACTAAAATAATGGTTCCTTGGGCAGGGGGGGGGGAGGGGGCAGGGACAGGGGAGAAGCATTATTTTAGAAAATATTGCCAAACAAATAAAATAAAAAGTGAAGTTCCACCAATTTATTTTAGGGGAAAATGTATCAATGGTATATACCATTGGGTCAGTGAATAAATACAAAGCCCTGTTAATGCAAAAACTGTACAAATTTTACTAAAATTAGTTGTGAAACTCTATTGGGAGAATGTGGGAGGGCAAATGGGGGATGAGAGAACTAAAGCCTCATTTCTTTCTAAGAGGAAGTACTATAAATATAGGTCATGTCTAAAACTGTTAAATCAAGACAGTATAAACACATTAGTTAGAGGTCTGAAGGTAGTTACCAAAGGAAATACCTAAAAGAATACAAACTGATCGAGTGCCTCTGGGATATGGGTCTGGAGGGTAGGAAGGGACAGGGCAGGAAATATTTTCTGCATTATAAATATTTTGATGCTTTTTTCCCCATGTGCATGTATTGATTTGACAATTTTAAAATAGTAGGTAAATGCACATTCCCAAAAACAAGTTTCAGAAATTTGGAATCAGTAGGTTTAGGGGCATAGGAATCTGCATCTTTAAAAAGACCCCCTGTGATTCTGACAAATTTATCCTGGTGCCCCTGCTTTTAGAAACACAAATAAAGAGGCAGCAACCAGTAAAAGAACAGCAACATCGATCTGCCAAGTGGAGAAATACTGGGGCTGTAGAATGTCAGGATGTTGGTCTCCCGGACAGCTTTCTACCATTTTACTAATAAAATGAATAAATATTAGGAGGAGGCACAAACAAACTAACAGATTGTAAGTAACCTCATAATTCAACACCTGTCTATAGGAGAACTTCATAGATAGGTCAGCTTTTCTCCCCCTTTATATTTGTTGAAAACCAAAATCCTTGATTCAAAAATTAGCCTGAGGAAAAACATAAAACACTATGTAACCAAGGAAGCTTTTGAACTGAAAGATGTTAGATAAACTCTCTCTCAGACTCTGTGGTTTCTATGTAAACCGTGTTACATCAATTTTTAAAATAGTTTGATTTTGATTTTTAAAATAGTTTAAAGAATGTTATCAGGATCTCTGGTGCTTACAAACAATTGCTAGGACATGTAGAGTACTTAATAATCAGAAGTCGGACGTATCTGGGCACTACGGTAGTTCCTTCTAAAAGGCTTCTCTGGAACACTATAGGACCATGGGGGATCGGCTCAATTAGTTGTCAAAAAGCAGCCATGGGCACCATGTTCTCATTTTCTCCTGTTCTCTAATCCCTTCCAGGACTCCACGGTGCTGACTGTAGAAGGAAGAATCTCCATCCCGCCTTTGTTTTTACTGTCAGGACTCTAGGTCACCTTTTTAGCACAGTGGGATTTCCTTTGTGTCCACACAAATTAGATATCTCTT